GCGCCGATGTCAAAATCGAGATGCTCCACGAGCGGCACCGGGAAGTACTGCCCTGTGCCGCCGGCCTCGTCTACTGCGCCTGGGGTCGGCCACGTCCCAGGCCGGTGCCAGGTGCTCATCCAGCCGCACCAAGGGCGCCCGCGGCGGCAGCGGCGGCGGCGGCCCTTGCCTTGGTCTTAGCCTTCGCCGCTGCGCCCGCGGGGCCGCCCTTGGCTTCCCCTTCGCCCCGGGCAGTCCGCCCAGCGCCAGCGCCGCGCCCGTCTCCTCGAACTCCTGCCGGGCACCAGCAGCACGACCCCGCGTCGTCGCCAGGTGCCGCTCCGCCTCGTCTTTGGCCGCCCTGTTCACGAACGACCTGAGCTCGGGGCTGCGGGCGCTCTCCCAGGAAGCCTGCCCCGGCGCTGGCCCGCTCATGTACGCCTCCACGATCGTCGCCAAGCGTCTGGCCGCCGACTCCAACGCCGCGACGCCCCCGAGGTTCAGCCCGTCGTAGGTCCCGGCCAGCCACAGCGCCTGCACCAGCGTGTTCAGCTCGTGGTAGGACTGGTCCTTCGACGAGATCCCGTGCCCCCTGCAGAACTACAGCAACCAGATGTTTGGGCCACCAGCGCGTTGAAGAAATCGGCGGCACAGGTGGAGGCAAGTGCACGCGCCACGGAGCTCGCACTGCTCCATGGCGAGCTGCGTGCTCTCCTCCGCGGCCTTCTGCCACGTCTTGAACCGGACGCCCTCGGACGTCCACTCGACGCACAGAGTCCGCGCGTCGCCCTCGGCCTCGGCCTCTGGCACGGGCGTGGCCGTGCCACCGTCCTTGTCGACACTGGCGTCGGCCGAGGCGAACTCCGCCCGCAGGTCGTCGGCCCGGCCCGCGCCGCTGCGCCCAGCCTGCTGCGGCGCGCCATGCCTGGCCGCCGCCTCATGCGCCGCCTGGCGCCACTCCTCCACGTCGTCCGCCGCCGCTCTCTCGCAGAGCACGCGGGCGCCGTCGTCGAGCAGCACCGCCGCCCGGCAGCCGCCCAGGCTCTCTGCCTGCCCTCCGACGACAGGGTCTCCCAGCTGCATGCCGTTGGGGGCCCGCACCTCCGCCACCACGTAGACGCAGTCCCCGAGCGCAGGCCCCCCGCGGCCGTCAGGAGCCGCAGCTGGCGGTCCAGCCACCAGAGCGCCTGCCTCGCCGCCAGGCCCCACGGCGCCGCCGTCCGCCGCGCCTCCCAGCGCGGGCCGCGTGGCAAACTCGTCGCCGCTCGCCTCGGCCAGCCGCAGCTCGGAGCTCACCCCCTTGCCAGTCAGCCGCCGACGCACACGGCCCAGCACGTGCCCGCGCCAGTCCAGGAAGGTGGTGGACTCCTCGCCAAGCCGCCCGCCCAGGCGCTCCGGCAGCCTGCGCTTCGCCCGGTACTTCAGCGCCTCGTCTCGGCCCTCGAGCACCTTCGCCAGCACTTCGTTCGCCGTCAGCGGGGCCCTGAACCTCACGACCCCGCCCTGCAGTCCTGGCGGCCATCCCTCGGTCAGGTCGTAGATCCAGGTTCAGTCCCGCACGCGCTCGATGTACAGGTCGTCGTCGGCGGTGAGGATCACCCAGCTCTCATACCTGTCATCAAAATGAGTAGGCCACAGAAGAAGTCGTTCATGGGAATAGGTGTCCCCCTCGAACCGAACGAGCAACCTTCGCCCCGGCACGCGATCTGCCCGGCTAGTCAAGGTGCTCGCGCAGCCCTCGCCCAGCAGCTCCCTCCCGCCGAAGGCGTCCACACGTCCAGCCTAGCAACCAGCAGGCCGAAGCCAGGGCCGCCGCCAACGCCAGCGCCGCCTGCTCCCCCTCCCTCCACTCAACCCGTACTGCCGCCACCACAACAGCAAAATCTGGGCAAGCGGGCGGCTCGGGGCACTTCGTCGGCTCCGGCGAAGGGCAGCCCGGCCACGGGGGGCAGGCCGGGCAGGGAGCCGCTGTCTCCCGCACGAGCAGCAGCCTGGCCGCCTCCGCGCCGGCGCCGCGTATCGGAGCCCGTCGGTCGCAGGTGCCCAGTCCCCTAGGACCATGACGCCACCAAAAGCTTGAGCACAAACAATCACAGACCATTGCAAACACGACAGTCGCCTGCGAGGAGGCAGCAATCCCGCGGTACCCACATTCATGATGATGATGATGATGATGATGATGATGATGATGATGATGATGCTGATGATGATGATGATGATGATGCTGATGCTGATGCTGGTGCTGGTGCTGATGCTGATGCTGATGCTGATGATGATGATGATGATGATGATGATGATGATGATGATGATGATGATGATGATGATTATGGTGATGCTGATGCTGATGCTGATGCTGATGCTGATGCTGATGATGATGATGCTGATGATGATGATGATGATGATGATGATGATGATGATAATGAGGAGGAGGAGGAGGAGGAGAAGGGAGGAGGAGGAGGGGGGGGGAAGGAGGGGGGAAGGAAGACGGGGCGCGGAAGAAGACAGGGGGACACTCGTGAGGAGTAATCTGAGGAGGGTGCAGCACGACCGAGGATGAGTAGGAACATAAGGACGACGGGCAATGACGAGGACGAGAGAACGGATGAAGAGGGGGAGGATGACTGAACGAAGGATGGGGGAAACGAACAAGAGGATGAGGGAGGACATGGTGATGAATCGCAAGAGGCCGAAGAGGAGGAGGAAGAGGAGGAGGACAAGAAAGAGGATGAAGAGAAAGTAGCAAAAGCGGAACGGGAGAATAGAGTTACTGAGCGGAAAAGGGTCAACATTAGTTTAAAGCCTGCGGTCCACCGTCTGGTGGGCCATGACTCTATAATAAGGCACCGTGCAGGGACATCCAATGCAGGCAGACAGCATTTTTCCCCCTTTTTCCCGTAGCAGACCCGAGCGTCGACTAAGGATGCCCGACAAGGGCTCGCGCCCACAAGACAGCACGTGCCACCGTGCTACTGCACACGCGAAACTTGCAAAAGTGGCGGCTAGAACAGCAGAACCTGCTCCTGCCCACCGCTCTTCCTCCTCCTCCTCCTCCTCCTCCTTCTCCTCCTCTTCTGCGCCGCGTCGGCAACTGCGACTGTCGCAGAGGCAACAGGAAGACAGCGATAGTAGTATATCCGCCGGCGTCCTTGGGGCGAGGAAAGATGTGAAGCTGCTTGCCAGACTGCCTTCTTGCTGATGCCCCTTGTTATGATCCCTTCGCTCGTCGTCTCTCGTCTCTCCGACTCCGACCTTGTGTCTTGATTTCTCGTCGACAAGCATCACCCACATCGAGGCGAGACGCCGAAGTGCGCCAGACAGCCAGTGGTACCAGGAGTGAGGGCAGGAGGAGGCGGAGGGGAGGGACGGTGGGACGACGAATTTTTGCAAGTTGTTCCTGACCGCGTGTGGCTGCACCTGCATTGCGATGCCACCTCGATGAACAATCCCCGCCCCCTTCATTTCAATGTTGGCATCAAGCGAGCACCCCTAGCCCAGGGGGACAAAATAGTACAAGTCAACATTGAAATGCGGGAGGGAGTTCCTGGAGTTCTCAGAGATCGATCGAATCTGCTCTAACTTGACACGCTGATTCTCAGAACGCTCAAATCACTTGCGATGTGTTGTCCACCCGCTGGAGGAGACGGGAGAAAGGACAAACGCGCGCGCTGCGTGGGCATCCCCAATGGCTCTGCCAGCCACTGATCTCTGGCCTCTCCAATCCTGCCCACTCATGGGGCCCGCGTCCACGAAGAAGCACCCCCAGGGGAACGGCCTGGCCCGCTAGCCGCTCTAAGAAGGCTGTCCAGGTCACCGCTGGAGCGCCGCCCGGCAGCCCCGAAACCCTCCGGGACGGCCCACGTGCGCCTCGGGTTACGAGCCACAAGAGCCCAAGGCCGCAGAAGACGGCTTCAAGACGCCTCCGATATGGGCCCGTGAGGGCCAAAAGACGCCCTCGAGAAAGCAAAAGTCAATGAACACCCCGTGTGTTGTGATGTGTTTCACTCGCCCCACGTGCTGCTCCCGTGATGTCCCAAGATCGCTTCAAGACGGCCCCTCCAGAGCCCCTAAGGTTGCCCAAGACGGCCCCCGAAAGGTCCACCCCCCAATGCCGCCCCCTCATGGCCCTCAAAGTCCCCATGATAGCCCAATGTTACTCAAGACGGATCAAATGTTGCCCCCCCCTCCCCCCCCCTCTCTTCCCCCCCCCCCTCCCTTCCCCCCCCCATCCCCCCACCCCATCCCACCCCCTCCCCCTCCCCCGCCCTCCCCCCTCCCTCCCCCTCCAGAAGCCTCAGGATACTTCCGAGAGGCCCCAGGACGGCCCAGCACAGGGCCCCCGAACTGACCCAGTGCAGCCGCGAGACGGACGACTCAGCTTGGGAAGGGCGCGGCGGCAGAGGGCGCAGCCCCTTCCGCTATAAAACATCGAAGCTGCCTCTTCAGCACGAGCGCTCACAGCGCCGTGAGAAAACAAGTCACCGCACGGCGGCCCGTGTGCAGACCGCCGAGGTGACTCCGAACGGAGGACTACACTCGACCCGTATCATACGGATGCGCGCTAAGCATGGAAGGGCCTTAGACGCCCATCTCGAAGCTCTTCGAGCGGGGCGCGGCCAACGAAAGTGGCGAAGGATGGACCGAGGAGGCAAGGATGCAGGGGTACCCTTGGGAAGGTTGCCATCCTTCCTATGCGGGTCGACTGTACTGTGAAATATTGGCAACCTGTCGGAAAACCACTCCCTCCCAACATCGAGGAGGATGATAAGGAAACAAGGGGAAGGAGGACGAGCAGAAAGAGTGAATGGAGGTTGAGAGGGGAGAAGGAAAAGACAAGGGTCCTAGTTGGCATCCCCTTCAGTCGCACGGGTGGCCAAACACCTTGAAGCGCAGGAAGACGGGCCATGCAAGCGAAGCTGGTCTGAAGTCGAGCACCGTTGCGAAGCTGCACGCCGCTGATGCGGTAAGCGAACGATGCTCTTGGGAGCTCAATCTCGTTTGCCGTGCAAAGGACCGCATTCTTCTCATTGTTGAGATTTGCCCATTTCGACGGAAAGGGGAGCCTGAGACAGGGCTGCCTCCTTCAAGGGAAACTTGAGGTACTTGTCGGCGTCAGGCAAATCACAGATATATTCAATCTGTTTCCCGTTCAGCTCCGTTGCGCCAGGCGGTGCACTTTCAAACGCAGAATCCTTGATCTTGCCAGCGATGCAGGGGCAGCACGAGGCTGGACAGCACATGCAGCATTTCGCGGCGTCCATCTTGCTGCAGCAGAGCCTGGGGCTGAGAAGTCTTTGCGGATAAATGCTCCAGCTTCCACGGCATGGAGGAGGAGTCGCAGGTGTAGGGGGAGAAGCGGGAAGGAACGAGAAGGAGGCCACTACACTCACTACTGTACATGGCCGTCTCGGGGAACCCTGGACACCCCAACGTTGATCTGCCTTGGAAGGTCCAACTTTTACTTCCGTTATGTTCCGCTGAGCCCCCGCTGTCTTCCGCCGAGAGGTAGATACCATTCTTTGGATCCTCGAAGAGGAGACCGTGTTTGGACTGCTCTGCATCGATTTCCCAGCCCGGCAACCATGGCATTAATCCACACATCGTGCCGGTGCCACAGCCACAGCAACGGAAAGGAGGCATGCGTCCCACGTCCCCCTTCTTGAGCGGCGGATTGAGCTTGACACCAGTGGTATCTACAAACTTCGTGCTGAACACCGTGTATTGGAAGCCATCTGCCTCCTCTTTGCGCGTCCAGCCGCTCAAGCCACGGGGATTCATCTCGAAATGCACTGGAACCAGAGAGTTGGGCGGGCCGTGGAAGCCAATCCACACACCACAACATTTTGCGTATAAGGTCACAGTGCGGCAGGTGTCCGGGAACTGAGGGTGCTTCTTGCTCCACGTGCCAGTCTTCGAGTCAATGCCACACCTGAAGTAACCAATATTCTCTCTGCCAGAGGTAACCTCCATGGCCCCCCCATAAGCTCCATAGAGCTCAACGGTATCGTTCGGAGCGAAGCTCGTCCAATGCTGTTTCTTGTCTGCTGGACCGCAATATTTGTCAGCGGCTACTCGGTGACGAATGTTACAATCATCGCAACAACAATCTCCATGAAGATAGCTGAAGTTGTTGCCCGTGCTTATTTTCACCTTCTCGCAAGCACACGCCCACTCGGAGAAGGCAGCCATCACAGAACGAGGCGAAAGTGCGGATTGTGGATGCTGGCCCTGTGGGGCAAAACAGCTCGGACCAGAACGACTTCACCCCTAATAGCAACGGGTTGCGGGGATGCCCTTTGCGTCGCTGGACGTCCGAATCCTGAAGCCCACCATCGTCGTCATGCCTGCTTGATCGTCGGGCACTCTCGCGTGACTGGGGCCGCAGCTGGCAACTAGCAACAAGATCGCCCTGACCAGAAGATCTCTTATTCCTCTTGCCTTCCATTCCGCGGAATATGTTCGACAGTGTGTTTGCAAGCGTGGAACCCAAGCGGTGATTTGTTGCGCTCTGGGTGTGCAAGCTGTGTGGTGCAAGCCACGTGGCACAAGTTACGTATGAGATGTGAGCTATGTGGTGCAAGCTATATTGTGCGACTGATTTTTACCCATGATTTGACACATCCCACGCTCTTGCAAACATCCCACCCACCCACCCGCAACTTGGTTTGCAAAACCTCTTAAGACCGACTACGACGACACCGACGACAACGACTACGACGACACCGACAACGTCTCCGACGACTTCGGCGACGACAACGGCGCCGACGCCGACGACGACGAAGACGACGACGACGCCAACGAAGACGACGACGAGGGAGGAGGAAGGACGACGACGGCGACAACAACGACAACGACGACAACGACGAGGGAGGAGGGAGGACGGCGACGACGCGAACGACGAAGAAGGAGGAAGGACGGCGACGCCAACGACGACAACGACGAGGGAGGAGGGAAGACGACGACGACGACAACGACGACGACGACGACGACGGCGACGAAATAGGAGGGACGACGACGAGACGCCGACGACGGACGACGACGACGACGACGAGGGAGGAGGAGGAAGGATTTTGTTGAAAATCCGTGTTGTGTCACACGATTTTGAAATCCTTCCGAAACCGATGGGTTTTGAAGGTTTTCGGCATACGCGCGCGACGACGCGCGCGTCTGCACTTCGTCCCATTTTTTGCAGAGGATTCTCGCGACGGCACACGCGCAAGGGCGTTCGACAGATTTCGACATGCGCGCGCGCGAAGCCCGTTTGGTAGCATGTTGCGGAAATCTTGAAAAACCGATGGTTTTCGTAAGATTTCGCAAGAGCTCGCGCGGAAGTTTTTTTAGCAGATCAGTGTTACGAAACCCTGTGTTTTTGTATGTTGTTTGGAAACTCGATTGCGAAATCCTTCCGGCACCGAAGGTTTTACAAGGATTTCGGCATGCGCGCGCGACGACGCGCGCGTGTGCACTTCGTCCCATGTTTTGCAAAGGATTCGCGAAAAAGTGCTATGTTAGAACAACAAATGTCACCGCATAGTGTTTTTTTACAAGGGAACCTCAGGGGGGGGATACCGGTTGGCCTGGGACATTGTGATTTGAAATTTAGGATGGACATGTGGGCAGAATCATGTGATTTACATACCCGAAAGGGGGGGCGATGACTCTGGGGTGAGAGGGGGTAGAGTCTATTCTGTTTTTAGAAAGGAGAATTTATATGCTGCAGGCTATGTGCTGCAAGCCGTGTGGTGCAATCTCTGTGCGTTGCAGGCTGCGGGTTGCAGGCTACGTGGCGCAAGCTACGTACCCAAAACCCACGCGGTGCAGCACGTGCGGCGGAAGCTGTGCGGTGCAAGCCCTGCCGTGCAGGCCGTGCTGTGCGAGCCATGCCGCGCACGCTTCTGGGGAAGCTGCGTGGTGTAGGCTGCGTGCGGCGACGGGGCGGCCACGGGCGGCCACGAGGCGGCGGCCGGGCGAGACCCACGGGGAGCCGCCGGCCGGCGCACTGAGAGCCCACGCGCACAGGCGCGAGACAAAAACCAGAGAGACACCGGCCAACGAGCGCGGCGCCGACGAGGCGCGCACGGGCGGCGACCGAGCGACACGCCTGGGAGACGCACGTCCATCGTTCAGAGGCGCCAAGTAAACACCAAAGCGCAAGCACTGTCTGGGAGATGACCCCAAGAGGTCTTTAGATTTGGGTCCCCCCCAGTCTTTCTCGGCGGTGAATTGGACTGATCCTCGAACCTCCTTCTCGTCCTCCTCCTCCTCCTCCTCCTCCTCCTCCTCCCTACTCCTCCTCCTCCGCCTGCTTTTCCTCCTCCTCCTCCTCCTCCTCGTCCTCCTCCTCCTCCTCCTCCTCCTTTAGGACGGTAGAGGGAAACAATTAGTGAACACCCCCCCTGCCCCCCAAACTCAAAGTTGGCACGCGCGGGGGAGACTGCGGTCGAGGTGCAACTCATCAGACCCACCGCCAACTTTGAAGATTAGGGGGAGGGGGAGGCGTTCACAAATGAATGTGGTATGAGTGTTCGCTATTTTTTTCCGAGGCCTGGAATGACGGTGCTCTCGGCTGGTGGATGCCATTTGCCCCACGCTGTCCTCCCGCACCGAAAGCCGGCTGCCCACTGCGGGGGCAGGTGGCCCTGGATTGTCCGCGCTGCCGTTGCTATCGATTCTCTGCAACCTGAGCGCCCCATGAATCGCGAACACCGATTGCAGGGATCGAGCCCCTCGCCAAACGCGCTCAGTTCGCGGATCGAACACCCGATTCTCGATCGGCGGCCTGAGTCTGATGGCACAAGAACAGACCTCGTCGAAACGGATCACCTGGCAGGCAAAGTGGCAAGGCGCTTCACGAGCTTGACAACACAATCTTATCTTATGAGGCCGTGGGGCAACCACCCTCAGTGCTCAAGGGTAACGCCATCATTTGAAATTAGCGGAGCACCCTTCCGCGCCTTGAAACTTGAAAAGCCCCGACGTAGCTTCATCCAGCTTTTTGACCAGAGTGGAGGGCACGAACTCATGCCAATAGCGTGTGTGTGTCTGTGTGTGTATGCGTGTGTGTGTGTGTGTGCGTGTGTGCGTGTGCGCGTGAGTGTGGCGTGTGTGTGTGTGTGGCGTGTGTGTGTGTGTGTGGCGTGTGTGTGTGTGTGTGTGTGTGTGTGCGTGTGCGTGTGTGTGTGTGCGTGTGGCGAGTGTGTGGCGAGCGTGTGTGTGCGCGTGTGCGTGCGTGCGTGCGTGCGTGCGTGCGTACGCGCGTGTCTGTGTGTGCATATTGTGCGCGCGCTGATGGCAGGAAGCACGCTGCGCTTGCCTGCGCGCTCCAGAACTGCGAAAGCTGGGCTCCCGGCGTGAGAAGCCACCCTTGTTGTCGCCCCGGTGAGAGAAGCCTTTGGAGGCAGAGCGTGCGCGCTGCCGGGCCGGCAACAAAAAGTAAAGCTCTTGCGCCTGGGGGCGAAACAGAGACACACACACACACACAAACACAAACACACACACGCACACACACGCACACACGCACACACACACACTTTTTGCGTCGGCGGCTGGGCAGAGGGCGACTGCTCCGGCGGGTAGGCAACAGGGGACACGCTGTGTGCAAATTAGGGCCGCAATCCACGGAAGGAGGAGGGGACACACACACACACACACACACACACAAAACACAAAACACCATCGACACCGTAGTGCTGTACACTCGGCGCGCCGAGGCTCATGCAAGTCGGCTGTGCACCCCGGACGAGCAGCAGGGCAAGAAACGATGATCAGAGAAGCCGAGGCTGGTCCGCCGCACGCAGCTCGCACTGCGAGCCGCTGGCGCAGCGGTGGTCCTCTCGTTGCGTCGTGCTCGCGCTGCTGGCCGAATCGCCGCCCCTGTATACGGGGGCACAGGGACACACAAATAAGTACACACACACAATTCCCAGGATCCCCTGTATTTTCCCATATTTTCTGGGGTTTCGTCTCCCTCCCCACTTCCAATATTTTTTCGCATTTTCCTGCGATGCATTGATTAATTGTGCCTGTACGTCTTTCCCCCTCCTGATTGTAGATCGACCCGAGCGTGCAACGGCGAATCGGGACGTCCTGGGCCTGCCGACACGATGCAACTCGGGCCAGTTCGCAGAGAGGAGCTCCTCGGGCGCGGGTGCCGATTTTGCCGCCCGAATTCCGCGCCCCCGCTTTTCCCTTCACCCCCCTCGAGGAACAAAACCGGGCATGACCATGGTTTTTCGGACCAAGACGGCCCAAGAGGCCCCCAAGATTGCCCCAAGGCGGTCATAGAGGCCGCCAGGAGGGCGCCGAGGCGGCACAAGAGGCCCCCAGGACGGCCCGGGAGGCCTCCAAGACGGCCCAAGAGGGCCCCGAGAACGCCCTAAGAGGGGGCCCCGAGCGGCAACACGAACCGACACGTCGAGCTCACCGCCCCAGGAGGCCCCGGCAGGCTCCCAAGAATCCCCGGGGAGGCCCCCAGAAGCCTCCCAAAGGCCCACCCCCCCCCAGAAGCCCCAAGAGGCGTCCAAGAAGCTCCCTCGGGGACCCCAGGAGGCCTCAAAACTGCCCCAGAGATGCATCCCAGAGAGCCCTCCGAAGAAGCCCCAAGAAGCATCCGCGAGGCCGCTGACCCATAACTCAGGCACGCTTGCGGGATGGGCCGCAGGCCATGAGATAAACATGAGCTGTCGGAGGTCCGCGCTGATTTCTTGGATCGGCGCTGGACGACCCTCCCTGGTGCGCGGACTGCGCGCCAGGGGCGGAAACGGAGGCGCCGCCAGGGGGCTCCAGCGTCGATCCAAAAAATCTGCGCGGACCCCCGACTGATTATGATCATGATTGTTGCTGTTCCTCGACTCCCTCTCTCCCCTCCCCGTCCCCTCCCTCTCTCCCTCGTCCCTTCCGCCTAAGGCCACAGCCAGTTCAGCAGGACGGTGTTGAAGGCAGCGGGGGCCTCGTGGTGAGGGCAGTGGCCAGCCGGCGAGATGGCGTAATACCTCAGGAGCACACCCTGATGCAGACGGGCCCGCCGTCCTTATCATGGCCCCGAATTCTCCTCCTCCTTCTTCTTCTTCTCCTCCTCCTCCTCCTCCTCCTCCTCCTCCCTCTCCCTCCTCCTCCTCCCTCCTCCTCCTCCTCTCCTCTTCTTCTTCTTCTTCCTCCTCCTCCTCCTCCTTCTCCTCCTCATCCTCCTGGCCCTCCTCCCTCCTCCCCCCTGATGCAGACAGGTCCGCTGACCCGATCCATCACAGGAGTGCGGAGCATCGTGCTGACGAAAGGGCCCCATCGACCACTCCCGGCCAGATCGGCGCTGAAATCGAGCTAGCATCAGCGGATCGGGACCTCCTGAGCCGAAGGCTCGCCCACGCCAGCGCTGACTCGATCAGCCGCTCGCCTCGCCCAGAACGGCACTATCCAAGGATCGTCCTCGCCGTAGAGCAGGAGCACCTCGTGCGCTCCTCATCCCGCTGCTGCCGCTCTTCCACCCCCTTGGCCCCTTCCCCCATCGTCCTCCTCCCCCGCTTGCTCGTCCGTCTCAGTCTTCTCCTCCGTTTGATCCTTCCTCTCTTCCACCTCCGTCACTATCTCAACTTCCTCCTCCTCCTCCTCCTCCTCCTCCTCCTCCTCCTCCTCCTCCTCCTCCTCTGGCCTCGTCTACGACGCCCTCAGCGACGCCGCGGTGCGCCCTCCTCCTCCTCCTCCTGCTCAGCATCAGCATCATCATCATCATCATCATCATCATCATCATCATCATCATCATCATCATCATCATCATCATCATCATCATCATCATCATCATCGTCATCATCATCATCATCATCCTCATCATCCTCATCATCATCAGCATCATCATCATCAGCATCATCATCAGCATCACCACCATCAGCAGCAGCATCAGCATCAGCATCATCATCATCCTCAGCATCATCACCATCATCATCATCATCATCATCACCATCATCATCATCATCATCATCATCAGCATCGTCATCATCATCATCATCGTCATCAGCATCATCATCATCAGCATCATCAGTAGCATCATCATCAGCATCGTCATCATCACCGGCAGCATCACCATCATCATCATCATCATCAGCATCATCATCATCGGCAGCAGCATCATCATCATCACCATGACCATCACCATCATCATCATCATCATCATCATCATCGTCATCATCATCATAATCAGCATCATCATCAGCAGCAGCAGCAGCTGCATCATCATCATCATCATCATCAGCATCATCATCGTCATCACCATCATCACCATCATCATCATCATCATCCGCATCATGAGCATCATCGTCATCAGCATCATCAGCGTCATCAGCATGATCATCATCACCACCATCATCATCAGCATCAGCATCCGCACCACCATCAACATCGGCAGCATCATCATCACCACCACCATCATCAGCATCAGCATCATCAGCATCGTCATCATCAGCATCATCAGCATCGCCAGCATAGTCATCGTCATCATCCGTCTCCTCCTCATCATCATCAGCATCATCATCACGACCATTAGCAGCATCTTCTTCTTCATCATCATTAGCATCGTCATCGCCATCGTCATCATCATTGTCATGGTCATCGTCATCCTCACCATCTTCATCATCCTCACCAACAACACCATCATCCTCATCCTCCTCCTCACTCTCTTCCAACACCTTCTCCCTCCTCCTTCTCCTTCTTCTCCCTCCTCCATCCCTCCCATCCGTTTCCTCCTTCCTTCCACCACTCCCTCCTGCTCATTCTGTCCCTTCCTCCTCATCCCGTTTCGTTGTCCCCCCTCCGATGCTTCCATCCTCGACTTCCCTCCTCCTCCTCTTCCTCCTCCTTCTCCTCCTCCTCCTCCTCCTTCTCCTCTTCCGCCTCTTTCTTCTCATCCTCCTCCTCCCTCCTCCTCCTCCTCTTTTTCATCCTCCTCATAAACACCACCACCACCATCAGCATCATCATCAGAATCAGCATCCTCATCCTCATCTTCAGAATCCTCCTCTGCCTCATCTTCAGCATCGTCTTTCTCGTCGTCATCGTCTCCGTCGTCGCCATCATCACCATCGTCTGCATCGTCGTCACAATCATCACCATCATCATCATCAGCAGCATCATCATCAACATCATCATCATGAGCAGCATTACCATCACTGCACCAGCGCCATCATCATTACCATACCAGCTTTACCATTATCACCATCATCAGCATTACCAGTACATCATCATCAGCACCATCCTCATCCTCATCATCATCGTCGTCAGCATGATCATCATCACCATCACCATCATCAACAGCATCATCACCACCATCATTAACATTATCATAGTTATCATCATCATCATCATCATCATCATCATCAACAACTCCATCACCATCATGATCCTCGTCGTCGTTGACGTACTCCTCCTCGTCGTCCCCCTCCTCTTCCCTCTTCCCCTGGCCCCATCCCTTCTCCTCCTCCTCCTCCTCCTCCGCCTCCTCCTACCTGCTTCTCCCCTTGATCAGCCCTTCTCCTTGCGCCCCTCCCGCCAGGGCCATTGCTTTGGAGCGGCCAGCGGCGACGAGAAGAGCGGCGCTCCAGGACGACCGCGCGCGCGAACCCGCTGGAAAAGCTAGTGCGCAGCACCCAGGCGGGATCGGCTCACCGTGGCATGCCCCAGTGAGCCGAGCCCGCCTCGGGGAGGGAGAAGGACGGACAAGGAGGAAGAGGGGGTGGAGGAGGAGGAGGATTGGTCACACAGTTGAGATTGCACCATCTGATTCCGAATCATACACCGCCATACCATGTTCAGAAATAACCTTTACATTCCTCTTATGACTCAACAGCCCCAAATTGACTCGCCAAGCATTTTGCTCGCTCGTACGCCGTAGAAAACAGACATCCGCTCACACGCCTCAGAGACAACTTCATGCTTTTGACCCACAAAGGGATAGTTAAGCATTCTGTGACCTCGCCCTACTGACACACCTCCGAGGACAAGTGCATATGGTATACATTCGATTGTTAGCCAGTGCGATGCCCTCCCACAAGAGCTCCCGACTACGCAGTAAGAACTTTAGTTCTCGACAGAGCATCTTTGCAGTACACTCATGACAAGAACTAGATGCGGCTGACAAGCAGCCTCATACCCTGCACGGGGGCCCCTTCAGGCATACCTATGGGAGAAACATCATTACTGGCCTGGGCACGGCCACATGGATGCCACAGATTACGAATACAAAGTGAGCCATCGCACGCAAGCTTTCTCAGCCTGGCAACACTCAGAGTGACAACCACACAGCACAAACACCCTCCCATACCACCTGCACATGCAGCACATACGCAGCACTAAGACGCACTGTCTCCTGCAGAACATCGGCAACAGCCACCGTCGCAAGACATAGCCCCATACCCTGCATGGGAGCCCCGAGGGGCATACCTGGGGGAAAGGCGTTGGAGACTGGAGTCATGGTAAAGGCCCAGAGAAGGCATTACATTTGACAAGGGCATGTGTATTATTCTCTCAGAAGATAGGTGTAACACCTCACACTCGAATTATTACTCAGCCTTCCCAGGATACTTACCGTAATCATCAGACTCCAACGGTTGTTGCCGACATGTTTGCTCTGACTTGCATCCTCAGCACCATGTTACCGACGCCTCCCTACAACACATCCAGCAACAACGCGTTTGTTGTACAAATGGATAAATGGGCTACAGCACCAAGATTCGTCTACCTATTGTCATAGTCAATCCACATGAAGTACTCGCTCAAATCGGACGACGGCATAACCAAGGAGAGAAAGCACACTATCGAATCACAACACCGACAGAGCAGCGAGCAGTACATTGACGGCGGCACCGAGACACTACCACCGATACTAAGAACACGCAGCAGGTCAAATAGGACCGACCTTCTACGTACTGCCACACCAACGGCCGACGACCCTAACAATGCACAACCACACAGGGCAAATGTCGAACCAGACAAGCAAGACACGGTCACCGACGACAGTACCGACAGACACTACATTTACATCTCACTACAGCTTGGCCGAGAATACCTACCAGTACCCGCAAGCAACGGCTGGGCCAAGGCCTGGAGGGCGGCGCACAGCACAATTGCTTACCTGCCCGACATCAATAGGGACTGTTTCGCCCTACTACACGAACGACTCAATACAGCAACTACTGGAAATACTACGGCTCTCACACGGACGTTGAGCTCCACTGGTCACAGCGGCCGGCACACATACCATTTTACAGAAGAGCCGACTACAGACCAGACAACAAGCCCTTCATCGACGACGAGGAACCTCCACGACATCCGAAAGGTCCCACTCATCTACACGACTTGGCAAGAGTTCAACGACGACATCGACCACAACAGAGTCCGACTAATCTACACATACTACAGCGTGGACGGCACCGAGAAGAGCCTCAAATCATCACTACGCAAGATCTACGACAAGCATAATAGGAAGAGATACGACTTCCAAATGGACGAGGACTACTCCGTCCACGCCAAGATCAACTACGCGGACCCCGACTACGATCAGCATACCGTGATCAGCTCCATGACCGACTCCGACACACATCAGGTGCATCGATCCTCCACCCACCATGGGCTACATGCATCATCGACAAAGATAGAAGACACATTACGCCACAAGTCACCTACCAGCAACCCGATTACGTAGAGCTAGAAGAAGCCACACAATACGAATGCGACTTACTCAACCAATGGACGGGACCAGCACGGTTCAAACCCGACCACCAGCAAGGACTGACACCACCTACGCACTGCGAGCTCCAAAAACCTACCAGGGACAACCCAAAGCGGCAAATCATACTATGCAGCCTCATGCCAACACCCATCACGGAGCTTCACCCCAGCAAGCACATCACGCACGACGACAGCAACCTAACACGCATCCAGCCCGAGCCCTCCATGGTCCTACCACCCCCCCAAAGGGCCACACTTCACCCTCAAGCAACCCAGGTACATTCAAATCAGAGGAGGGCTCATATTCCCTACCGCCCTACCACGTGAAGACACACACACACACACACACTACGCATTTGTACAGCAGCAGCTTGCTGAAAAGTACGACATCAGAACATGTCAATACGACCACCTGGAGAAACAGCGGCACAAATGCAACGGGCCCACGAGAATGCTGCCACCAGAACAAACCATCCCCCACCTGACCTTCAAGAAAAAGAAGGACAAGCCCGACAGGCGAAGGATCGAGAGACACGCCACGACTACATTCCACCAACTCCAGCCAGAACACCAACTCCACCCACCCAGGCCAATGCCGACGCAAGACCTGACCCATGGAGTAACTACCCCAGGCTATGCCACGACACCACCGACTCTGAGGACCACATCGACGAAAACGACCCCTGGACCAGGATGAGCGGCGCATCAGACGCTCACGAGTTCTACCTCAT